AAAAACAAAAAAAAAAAAAAAAAATTGAATAAATTTATTACAAATATTTCATGATTACAAAATTTTGTCCAAAATAAATTATTGGTTATTGGTTAGTTTTTTTTTTTTGGTTAAATTTGTTGAGTTAATTAATGGTTATAAAATATTCTTGACTAATATATTATCCTAAATATCTATCGTAACATATTCATCCATTCATCTAACCAATATTTTTTTTTATTTTCCGTTTTCTTTTTTTGTAATTTCATTTTTTTTCTAAATTTTAAATTGAGGGAAATGTTTTCTGAAAAAATATTAGTTAATTAATTAATTTAATCGAGTTAAAACAAAAGTATTACCATATGTAATTGTATATTTCTTTTCATTTTCTATCTTCTTTTTTTTTTTTTAATTTCAAAATACAATGAAATGTGAAATGAATATTTTTACGCTTTTTTTTTTTTGTAAATTCATCAGAACATACTAATTAATTAATTAATTAATTACAATCAAAAGTGTTGCAGCATGCATTGTATATTCCCATTAATTTCTCTTCTTTTTTTTTTTTAAATTTCTAACAACGATGAAATGAGAAATGAATATGTTTTGTTTTTTTTTTGTGAATTCATCGAAAAAATATTAATTAATTAATTAATTAATTATAACAAAGCACTGAACTATATATTATAAGCATACACATCAATGATCTGTGGGAATAATTAATCGACGACGATTTATTTGTTTAATCATTTGCCTTAATTAATTGTAATTACCATTGATCATTGTTTTTTTTTGATCAATGGCATTTCCTATCATTATTATCTTTTTTAATTTTAATAAACAATAACTTTACATATATAATTGATTGGAAGAAATTAATTAATTTTTTATAAAATCAAAATTCAAAAATTCAAAATTAACATATTTCCCTCTCTTTTTTTTTGCATTTTAATAAATGATAGTAAAATTTCCGAAATATTTTTTAAATTGAATTAAAAATATTTAGATGAAACTACCGCTGGTCTCTTTTTACAACCATTTCGAAAAAACAAACGAATTCGTACCGCTTTCTCACCCCAACAATTAGTTGAACTTGAAAAAGCATTTGAAATGAATCATTATGTGATTGGAAATGAACGTCGAGAATTAGCAACAAGCTTATCGCTTACCGAAACACAGGTTAACAAATTTTCATCATTTCAAAAAAGTTTCCAGCATTTTTAAAACTTTTATCAGTTCTAAAATTTTAATTATTTAATTAATTCGGAATAAAAATTTTAAAATTTTATTCGTATTAAAGATAAACAAGCCGAATTGGTGTAAATCAATTAGCGGTAATTAAATTTTAAAAAAAATGCTGATAGCAGATATTTGGGAAAAATTTGTAAATTTTAATTAAAATTTAAAAAAAAAGGACAGAAATTTGATCAAATATTTCTGATTTGATTGTTTTTTTTTTCTTGCAAATAAAAAAAAGCGAATAATTCTTTTTTTTTAAAATATTTTTTTAATTTAATCATTTTGACCAATAAATTTTCTTTAAAAAAAACCAAAAAATTAAAAGGAAACAACAAATTTTCTTTTTTTTTTCATTCCTATCAGAAAATTTATTTAATACTTAATCATATCGTATTGATTATTTCCTTCGTCAATTCATTTTCAAGTATTATTTCTAAGCATATATTTACCGTAAGGTTGATCAAATCTTCAGGGAAGTGTTTATGTTTTACGGAAATTCCTTGATATTTTCTTTTTCTTTACCTTTGCCATAAAGTTAATTAGTTAATTACTAATAAACAATCCGGTTAGCACATTCAAAATCGGAATAATTTATCAAGTTACTCTTTTTTTTTCACTCAAATTTTCCTCAACTCTACCATATCCTGTTTATGTTAGTAATTAAAATTAGTAAGAAAAATTAATTAGAAAAATTTTTGCTAACCTCAAATAGCCAAATAATCATTGGTAAATGATAATTAGAGGCTAATAAGTGAAACTTTTAATTTTAATCTTTCAATTATCAAACAATAAATTAATTGGAAGAAATTTTTAATAATTTTTAATATTTTTAAATTTTTAACAATTTTCTTTTCTTTTTTTTATTATAATAAATGCAATGTATAAAAATTTACTGTAAATTTTAAAAATTTTAACATAAATTCTTTTATCGTTCCAAAGCGAATTACACTTGTCATTATGTTTGCGACATAATTACTTTGTTGTTTTAGATGAGAGCGAGAGAGAGAGAGAGAGAGAGAGAGGAGGAGAGAAGAAGAGAAG